TCCCGTGTATATAGTTATTTGCTTTTCAATCACATATTGTTTCTTTGACCCATTTATCCTTCTCCAGAACTCTTCCTAATCTTCTCGAACCTACTGTGTGTCTCACTCTAGATCCCAATTCCCTATTCGGTCTCCTTTCACTTATCAGCTAGACCCTCTCTAAGTCTTTTTTCTTTTTTAATCTAGCAAAAGAACCGATTTCCAAAATAAAATGCCTAAATTCAAATGTTGGCTCTTGAAAAGCGGGTCAAGTTGCATAACCTTCCTGGACGTTAGTTTCCTAGAAGTTAAGTGACCTGCCCAAGTTAAAGCCTCTAGCTATACAATTCAGTTACTTTGTTTGGACTTTACCTCTTGGCCCTTTATAGTCTGATCCTGCTACACATCAGTCAATGAGAGAAGAAGAAAAAAAAAATCACATAGGGAGGCCTATAAACAGAGTAAGATGTAGCCCAGAGTCAAATGCATTTGAAACTTTCTTTTCTCAATGTCATCATAAATCAACAAAGTATAAACTAAAGAATGCTGCATTTTAACAAAGTATGAAAGGGAAAGACAAATCCTTAGTCATCAGGCGTTTTCACAATGTACTGCTTGTTTCCCAAACTAGAGCTTACATGGCCTTTTGCCTTATTCTTTGGTGAAACAGCTTGTTAGGCTCCCTGCATCCCTGAGGAGTTACCCTGGTCTTACTTTTCTACCCCAGATGGTGTTTACTTTTGTCCAGGTTGACTGACATTTCCTGGGAAAGGTGTAAACACCTTGGTTTGATATTTTTCACTGGGTTCTGGGAGCCAGCTTGCCCTGGGATGGGTATACAAGTTGCAGGGATTGGTCAAGAGACTATGCAAACAAGGTGAGTTACCACTTACTTGGCAAATGGAATGACTGTGGCATACCAAAAGGGGATAGAGGGGTTTGGCCATCATGTCTTGGTCCTAGTAAGAGTGCCATGCCTTGTCAAGGAGTTTGTGTATGAGGGGGCTTTGAAAAGTTCCAGAAAAAATTCCATTATCTTTTAATTTTTTTTGCACAATCAAGTAGAAGCTTCCTAGTATTTAAGCAGCTAGCCCAGAGGTTTCTCAGATAGAAGAAAGTAGCAGAAGGAATTAAGAAGAGAGAATTATAGAGGGACCCACTAAGTGAGCGAGCACAAGGGCCCCAGAGCTTCCACATCTCAAGGGCTGTACCACTGAAGACAGTGGCAGCAGGGACCACAGAAGCCTGTCCTGCACAGAGGCTGCAAGGAGGCCAGTGTGATCCAGAGGAACTGAGAGGTGTCATACATTGAAGAATGGAAACTGCCTACATGCTTCCGGATCCTGAGTACAGCAGGCTAATACTGATCCTGAGGTGTACCCTGTTCTTTAGCAAACCACTTATCTGTAAGTATGGCCTGTGGGTTGTACGTGGCTGCTGCAGAACCCATAAGTGAGAAGACAGTGCAATAAAGGACACTGGTGTCAGAATTGGTAAAACATTTGGAGCAGGGAAGTTTATCAACCCACCACCTCATAGGGATCAACTTTGGGCTGATTTAGATTCATATGATGACAGGCTCTGAGGCCACTGTGACTAGTACATCGACTAGTCCCATTTTACAAGATGTAAGATCTACTTTAAATCCTCAGGAAGTTTAGCACAGACGCCAGGACAGAGAGCAACAATGGGGAGAGTGGATCTTAGAAAGGAATACTGTACAGAAAATGTAAAATTGCAATGCACAAAACCATTCTATTTGGTTTCCTAAAATCTAGAAAGGTTATATGAAGCATGTTCAATTCCTAAATGCAAATATCCAAAGTATATCATCAAATCAATATTAAGGTGTCAGAATAGCAAATATTAATTGTGCTACCGCAAATATTTTTCTAGGAATAAGATGTGGCTTATCATAGAGTATTGCTTAATTCAAGGGACAATATTAGAGAAACAAAAGAATAATATTTAAATATTAGTCTGATAACTGAGCAACAATCAAGATTTGCCATGTACCTTGGCACTTTAAAAGCTCATGTCCACACATGGCCAGCCCCACTATGAGACATGATGCTCCTCACTGGCCCATGGCCCTGCTGGGGACAACATCAGTGACACAGTGTGGGAATTGCGCCTGATCTGACCCCGCCACACTGAGGCAAGGCACTGGGTGTGTGTGTGTGTGTGTGTGCAGCGGAACAGCAGGGGAGGAGAGTAGCAAGATCCCCAGGGAATGATGAGGGTGGACATTGGAGAC